TGTGTGTGTGTGTGTGTGTGTGTGTGTGTGCGTGTGTCTCTCTCTCTTTCTCTGTGTGTGTGTGTGTCTCTCTCTGTGTGTGTGCATGTGTCTCTCTCTCTCTGTGTGTGTGTGTGTCTTTCTCTTTCTCCTTTGATGTGGCCCTCCCCGTCTCCGGAGCATGTCCACCCAGAGCCTCCTGCACACCTTCAGTAATGAACACGCTCGCCAGTCGCTCTTCCGTAACCTGGGCACAGGCGTCATGCAGATCGAGACCGGCCCGGCCAATCACGTCTTCTCCTGCGGCGCGGACGGCACCATGAAGCTCCGCCTCCTCCCCGACGCTCTGAGCCTCTACTGCAGCGGCGTGAAGAACGACGTCAGGTTTATCATGTAGCACACTCATGACTCTTGCACACGGTACGACAAGCAATACGAGAGAGACGCAGGCAATCCTGCTTTCAAGCACACTGTACGAGTTGCTCAGCATACTCAAGTTAACCTGGAATATATATCTCTATATATATCAGTAAAGCCTTAACTAGCCAAACGGTGTTGTGATCGTGCTCTAGACTCAATATAGTGATAAGTGTCCTTATAATTCTACCCTCGCGCTGGACGTCCCCTGGTTTCTGTTGCGCATGTCAAATGATGTGCAGTCATTCTAATAACCATTTTTTGTAAGGTATTGTATATTACTACAGTAAGCAGTATTTATTGAGATGATGAGCTTTAAAGCGATAGTTCACCCAAAAATAAAAATAGCCATAATTTCCTCTCCCTCCAAACTTGCACGAGCGTCTTTCGTCTGCTGAACACTACAGAAGATGCTCTGAAGGCCAAACAGTTGCCGGTACCCATTCACATCCATACTATAGAAACCAATGGGTGCCGGCAGCCGTTTGGTCTCCAGAGCATCTTCTGTAGTGTTCAGCAGACGAAAGACGCTTGTGCAAGCTGAGGAAGAGCAAACGATGGCAGGATTTAATTTTTGGCTGCTCCGTTCCTTTCACACAGGCACTGATAGTGTTAATGTTACCTGAGGTTGAAGATGAAGCACTTTGCATGTAGAGATTATCCGCGTGGAGCCGAAGCATCATAACATTTGTGAATCAAGCTGAGAGCGGACGATCGGGAGACACTTTTATGTTCAGTTGAACACGAGACTTGATGAAATGATTCTATGTTAAAGATAAAGCATATTTATAATCATCGAGGCTCCTGCAGACGTTTGGTTGTAGAAACGTTGTTCAGGGTTTATTTTTTACACTTCTTTTATCTGCCGTCAATCGACTCGGACACAGATGCGGCACACATTTGTTCTTTCCATGTTCTTCTTCACTGCAGAAAATGATGCTCTTCCTCAGGATTTCTCAGTAAACATCCTTAAATCAAGACTGAACGAATGAAATGACTTGAAGTGAATTAATGCTTAAAACAAGAACAGAAATCATGTTTCCCCTTTGAATGAAGTTGAATGATTTTTTCTTCACTCGTTTTTTGATGTAAGGATTCTGCCCTTTAACCTCTCAAATGTGAATAATATACACGCAAATGAATCTAATTTTATAATGAGTATGAAGAGATCTGTAATGTACATGACTGTAACGAGAAAATAAATGACTCAATGCAAGATCTTTATTTCTTTGCTGGGTTTTTATTAATGGTGATGTGGTCTTTTGTTGTAAGCATCAGTGCATTGAGCATTATTGGAAATGAATGATTAATGCAGCTAGATGTGTGACTCCTTCACGATCTAGGGCCTTCAGAGTTTGGCGTAGTCCTTCAGCACGGCCTCCAGCTTCTGGCTCAACGTGATGTTCCCTTTGACTTTCAGCTTGCCGGAGAAAAACGCCTGCGGGACAAACACGGAGCAGGAGGAGTGTGAATAACAGGGCTGAAGCCCGACGCTCGTGTGAGAGTTTGCCCGTCAGCAGCTGCATGAAGTCCTCGTCTGCGACGGTGAAGATCACGTCTGCTTTAGCGCCGCCGGCTCCTCTGTGCACAGATCCTCGGCTGAGAGACAGTACAGTCACAAACACATCATCTCTGTCTGATGCAAACGTCTGAAGATGCTTAAATCAACACACTTACTTGAGAAGCAAAATACAGGGATTAAAGTGTTCCGTCAGTTCATAAAGACAGTCACTTGATTCACTCCTGAATGATTCAGCCGTTCGAACGAATCAATTGAATGAATGATTCAGTGATAAAATCAGTGATTTATCGCCACCTGCTGGCAGATTTAGTTTCATTTTTAGCCTATAATTTCAGTTATTTAAATCATGTAATATTTCTGTATTCAACATTTTATATTTAAAACATTAATCTCCACATTAATTTCACAAACGGGACAGGACTGTGCCCCGGGGCATTCTGGGAGAGCGAACGCTTGCTGACCTTACACTGGAGCTGAATCCTGCTCGCTTCCTTCCACATCTCCGTCTGCAGAGACTGTCCCGGGTACACGGGCTTCACGAAACGCACCTGAATCACACATCAGGGTTATTAATCGGGCTGTTAAGCCATTACAACTTCTAGTCTAATTCATTACATCATGTGCAAATTACTCACCCATCAATTTCACACACCATCACGTGTTCATTTAAAGTCTTTATTGTGTTCAGTGAGACAAGCGCACTGAATAGACATTACAAAAACTAACTTCAGAGAGAAATATTTTTTGCATAATGACAATAAAGCTTTTTTGAATTCATATTGAAATATGAAAAGCTCAAAAACATCAAACGAACAGAGGCAAGTCTTAATGATTGAGTCATTGATTCATTCATTCAACCGATTATTTCAGAAATGAAGCAAGTGACTATTTATAAATGAATCATTGACTCATTCGATTCGTTCAAACGGCTGACTGGCTGCGTCCAAAACCGCCTACTCAATGAGTAGGTACTTAATTTCATTAAGTACTTACTTAACATGATTATCATAATTATCTGAGTGATTTATGAATATCTGCCTAATCTAAACTGAAGGACACCATCATGAGAGTCAGTGACTCTTACTGCTGTATGTACTTTGATCGACACAGCAAAGCTGCACCACAGCACGCTCATGTACTTAAACTCAGGATTCTGAGCAAAATAATATACGTTAATAAAAATAAAACATCTATATTCATGCGTCAGCACTACAAAATGTAAATAATACAGAAGTTTGTGGTTTATTTATTCTGTTTACTGCTCAGAAAGCGCATTAAACTTATGCAACAATTATTAATTTCTCTATTAATGGGTTCTGCGTTAACATATTCTCATATCAGATCAGCTGTGAAAGTCTGCTCTGCTGTGACTTGAGCCCTACTTCCACGAACGGAGCACTGTGACACTTATTTGTGCGGGTTATATTTAAAGTGATGAATGCTTAATATAATATAAACAGTATCACAGCTGCTGTTAATGAGTGTTAATGTGTAAAATTGTGAAATGTTACATACATTTGAATGTATTATTTGCATATACAACCAACAAAACCATAGTCATATTTGATAGAAACTAACTTATATGAATTGAGGTGCTGACTGTTTGTGCAAATTTAGTATAATTTGACTTAAAGCGGTCATATGATGCGATTTCAATGTTTTCTTTCTCTTTGGAGTGTTACAAGCTCTTGGTGCATAAAGAAGATCTGTAAAGTTGCAAAGACTAACGTCTCGAATCCAAAGAGATATTCTTTATAAAAGTTAAGAGTCAGCCACGTCTACCTAAAACGGCTCGTTCCAACACGCCCCCACATGTCTACATCACTATGTGGAAATATTAGCATAATGCCGCCCAAATGTGCACGCAGAGAAAGAAGGCGTGGTTTCAGGAACAGCTGTAGTGTTGAAGCAGCATGTCAGGGAGACGCTGTGTTTCAGTGCGAAAGCAAAAGCACTTTATTTGTTCTTCCGGAAGTAGATGCAATTAGGAATCATTGGTTAAGATTTATTTACAACAGAACAGCACAACCCAGATGTTCGAATTTGTGCAACGCATTTTATGGTTTAACCTAGAAGAGTATAAGGCTGGCTGTGCACAAAGGCTATTTCTAAAAATAGGGTCAATTCCGACTTTGCTATGACAATCTGGGCCGTGGCTTGTGTACTGCATCATCACTGTGTCTGTCACGCGACTCTGTTGCCCTTTCAGGCTTGAACTGATGGTAAAACTAACCACATTATTAACTGTCTTGATATTTATTTTGAAAGCTGAAGCTGGCGATTATGGTAAGGGGCATTACTTTATTGGACTTCTTTTGGACTATTGAAAAATAACACCCATTCGCTCCCATTATAAAGCTTGGAAGAGCCAGGACGTTTTTTAATATAACTCCGATTGGATTCATCTGAAAGAAGAAAGTCACGCACACCTAGAATAGCTTGAGGGTGAGTAAATCATGGGGTAATGTTCATTTTTTGATGAACTGTCCCTTTAAGCGATCTTTAACAGACATCTTGCAGACGTACCCGTGCTATCTGGGACACGTTTTTCCAGTAACGTTAATGTTTGTTCAAAGTTATCTGGTCTTTAATAATGTTCTCAAAACGTTATTTTCTGAAACATTTTAGTAAGTTTTTTTAAATGTTACTTCTTGTTTCAGAACGTTCAGAGAACATTCGAAAGTAACGTTTCCATAATGTTTGCAAAATGATGGAATGTTCACTTAATGTTCGTATAACCAAGAAAGCTGGTTTTAAATCCTTTTTTAAAGAACAGGATGTTTTTGAACTTCATTATTTGCGTGGGCTGGCATACAGCTGGTCTCACAGCAGTGGAGTGACTCATGACTGATGAGTTCTCATATGTTTTCTGTATTATTTGTGGTTTCCAGCATCAGTGTTTGAGCAGGGAGTGCGCATGCGCGTGTTCTTCAGCATCTGGAGGAAACATGCGAGCATTGACATGCGTGACCGTCCTGAGAGGACCCGCCGCACAGCCGTGACCCGGTCCGGTCCGGTTCGGAGGATGTCCGGGAGAGGAGGCGTCAATAAAGTTCAGGTCAAGCGACGGATCAGGTGCATCGTGGAGGATCTCGAGAACATCGTAGGAGACCTGAAGGATGTGGCGAAGGAACTCAAAGAGGTGCGTGAGACTGGCGTGACGATGATGATGATGATGATGAAGATGAGGTGCGTGAGGTCTGATGCGCTCATCTGATGTTCGTGTCAGGCCTCGTGTAAACATGTACTGTCTCTGCTGCTCGTGTGATTGACAGCTGTCATTCATTCATTCATTCATCCAGAGTACACTGGGTCCGTCAGATATGACTAATAAGAGAAATCAGACGTCACAATAAAGCAGCAATATTCTTCTGTTGTATATTAAACGTTTGCGGTCTGAAACAAGTGATTTCTACAGTATATGAGTCAGGAGGCGTTTTAGGATGATCACAGATATTGTTCCAAAGCAGCTTTACAGAAAACCATGATGTTCATTTTTATTTTACTCTCATAGAATTTGTTACCATTGCCATGCATTATACGACTGACAGACTGCAACAGTTAAAGTTAAAAATCATCATCTGTGTTCTACTGAAGACACAAAGTCACCTACATCTCGGATGCCCTGCAGGGGGTGAGCAGATAAACATCACATTTTCATTTTTGGGTGAACTATCCCTTTAATGTCTTCATGCCTTATACTAGTTGCATTTATCAGATTACAACTGTACGATACATTATGCGACGATATAAACAATCACGCAGTCAATATATCGCTTTAGGAGAGAGAAACTGACGGAAATATGTTCTAAGAACATTTGGCTAGCGTTCCCATTAAGTTATAACAACGTTATTTCTGAATGTTCCCTGATAGCACACGTGCATCTCAGAGACGTCTGTTTGACGTCGCATTTACATCTCAGAGACGTCTATAGGACGTTTCCTATCAGATGTCAAATAGACGTTTACAAGATGTCTTTAAGATGTTCATGATTTAGAATGAATGTAAAACTGATGTCTGAAAGACGTCTATCACAGCAGATGCTTTCCAGATGAAGCGATCTTTAGCAGACATCTTGCAGACGTACGTGTGCTATCATTTGATCATTTTGCAAACGTTACTTTCGAATGTTCTCACAATGTTCTAAATGTTGCTACTTGTTTCAGAACATTCAAAAGTAGCGTTCCCATAATGTTTGCAAAATGATAACCTGAAATGTTCCCTTAACGTTCGTATAACCAAAAAAAACGTTTATAAAACAATTAAAAAATTGTACGTTTGAACATTCAGAAATAGTGGTTAATGAGAACATTAGCAGAACATATTATTAGCTGGGAATATACTTATAGTAGTTGTAGATTGGAGTTATTAATTAGGATTGAGGCTTCATAAGTGTACAGTATCTGTTCATGATGATGCTGCAATATTTATGGAAACATGTACAGATGAATTCTGTGTAAATTTATTATGGAGTTGCTCATTTTCTGTTCTGTAAGTCAGTTTGGATCAATTGAATCCACATGCAGCTTTGTGATGAACATCAGAGGTCATTCATGACTTATGCCTGATCATTCAGATATTGATTTGATATTGCAGTTACATAACGACTCGTGTCTCTCGAGCACCTCGTTTCTTTTGCACGCTCATCTGATGTTGCACGTTGCGCCCGTCTCACGCTTGACTCTCGCTGCGGTTCTCAGGTGGTTGAGGAGATCGACTGCCTGACGTCTGATCTCCGTCTGGAGGAGGATCTGACGGAGAGCTCTAAGATGGACACGCTCAACAGCAGCTCCAGCAGCACCACCACGGCCTCCAGCGTCAAGATCTACCCCGAGGAGACGCTCTTCAGACCTCCAGCCGTCCTCACCGTCCTGAAGAGACCCGCTCCGTCCAGAGCCGAGGAGATCACAGCCAACGGAGCGCCGGGCACAGACTCTCTCTGTCACACCACGAAAAGCCTGTCTGAGAAAGACCACGCGAGCCGCTGTCCTCAGACCTCGAGGGAGCGCGTGCGCTTCAGTGAGAAGGTGCAGTATCACGGCTACTGCTCGGACTGTGACCCGCGGTACGACATGAACAGCACGGATCTGCACTTACTCGCCAAACCCAGCCCCGTCCATCAGTGCTCCAATCCAGCGCACGCTTTCCCCTCGCAGAAACCACAGAAGACCATTTTACGCAAGTCCACCAGCACCACCGTTTGACGCAGACCGAGGCTAAACGAACTTGTATTTTTGTTTGGAGAGACGCTGTGAGAAAGACAGAAGCGGAGGTGTTGAACGGTAAGAGCAGCAGCCGTTTATCAGGCCTTTCCTTCATCATTAAAAGGAATATGTGTTCATCCGAGATCAGGATGAGTGTGTTTCTTCATCAGGTTTGGAGAAATGTAGCATTGCATCAGTGTCTCTGCAGTGAATGGGTGCCGTCAGAATGAGAGTCCAAACAGCTGATAAAAACATCACAATAATCCACAGCACTCCAGTCCATCAGTTAACATCTGGAGAAGACAAAAACTGAAACTAATCCAGCATTAAGATGTTTTTAACTAAGCTGTTTAAACGCTGCTTGATCTGTGCAGATTTCTCTCCTGATTCACACCAGAACACTTTTCATTGGAGGAAGCGTTATTATGGATTATGAACCAAAGGCCCGGTTCTTAACTCAAAGGGTTATTTACATTAAGTGCAATTAGCTATAGATAGTTAAAATAGCAGGATATTCTGCTAATTACTTATTGCAAATAGTGTCAATGGATGCCACCTTATTGGGACAAAAGCACTCCCTACACCTAACCCTACCCGATACTTTATTTTCAACTTTTTGATTATTTCCTTCATTTTTATTAAAAATAAATGCTTTTCTGATGTGATTTGAAATTTGAAAAGGGAGGAAAAAAAGTTCGCCAAAAAATGGCAGATTCGAACCCTGGTCGATCGCGTCAAAAGAAGTACGACACGCTTTATCATCTACGCCAGGGGTGAGGAACTCCGGTCCTGGAGTGCCGCAGCCCTGCAGAGTTCAGCTCCAACCCTAATTAAAACTCACATGCCTGTAGCTTCCTAGTAACTATTTAGACCTTGATTAGCTTGTTCAGGTGTGTTTGATTAGGGTTGAAGCAAAACTCTGCTGGGCTGCGGCTCTCCAGGACCGATGTTCACCACTCCTGATCTACGCCACTGAATCTGACGATTAATGACCGTCTTTTGTAACGTAACGATCCCAATCACACGTTGGGGGAGGAGTTAGTGTAAATAGCCTCTGCCAACAAGACGGGCTATTTGCACTTAAAGGGATAGTTCACACAAAAATGAAAATGTGATGTTTATCTGCTCACCCCCTGCAGGGCATCCGAGATGTAGGTGACTTTGTGTCTTCAGTAGAACACAGATGATGATTTTTAACTTTAACCGTTGCAGTCTGTCAGTCGTATAATGCATGGCAATGGTAACAAAATCTATGAGAGTAAAAAAAAACATGCACAGACAAATCCAAATTAAACCCTGCGGCTCGTGACGACACATTGATGTCCTAACACACGAAACGATCGGTTTGTGCCAGAAACCCAACAGTATTTATATTATATTTTACCTCTAATACACCACTATGTCCAGCTGCTTTGGGCGCGCGCACGGCATCCGGTGCGTGAGGTGTGTACGCGGCTACGCGCTCTGGCGTAGTTTAGGTTAACGGGTGTGTTGATATCCAGCCGAAGAGCAATCCAGCATAACTTCAGGCGAGCAGGCTCAGAAGATGGGAATACGTGGAAAGTCGCCACTCCTGAATGAGTTCGCGTGAGAGAACGTAATCTTTTAGTTTTAAGTCGGTTTGAACAATCCGGATAAGCGCAAGTAAGTACCATTTTGATTAGCCGTCGTACCTACAATGACTGTGCACTGTGTAAACAATGAGTGACGTATACGCGCGAGAGATCACTTCCGGCGCTCGCGTAAACTACGCCAGAGCGCGTACACACCTCACGCACCGGATGCCGTGCGCGCGCTCAAAGACAGCTGGACATAGTGGTGTATTAGAGGTAAAATATGATATAAATACTGTTGGGTTTCTCGCACAAACCGATCGTTTCGTGTGTTAGGACATCAATGTGTCGTCACGAGCCGCAGGGTTTAATTTGGATTTGTCTGTGCATGTTTTTTTTTACTCTCATAGATTTTGTTACCATTGCCATGCATTATACGACTGACAGACTGCAACAGTCGCAGTACTTTCAAACTGGTAAAATTTTATGGGGCTAATCAACGTAAATAATGATTTAATAGTTATAAAATAATTATTTCTGCCATAATTATTCTAAAGCACTATTTCACAGAAATAGTGTTTAAAGAATAATGTTAAAGTGTACAAAATATTGGTAATTCTGACCTTGCACCGATAGTTTTGATTAGAATACATCACATCCGGTCGGGCGGTGGCATACGGTCTAGCCGCAGTGTCCGTGACGTCACCCCTAGCTTTCTGAAGAGCGTTTGTCAAGCCTTAAAGAAGTTAATTACTTTAAATAAAAAGCATTTAATTAAATAAAATATACATTTTATTTCGGCTAGTTTCCAAAGCAACACAATAAAAAAACATAAATAAAACAATAAAAAATGAATTGCTTTAAATCAAAAACATTTCCTGAAATAAAATATACATTCCCTTTTTCAGCTAGTTTCCAAGGCAACATCCCTCATATTTGTAAATAACTAAAACTTCATAAATAAATAAAAAACTATATATACATATTAAAAAAAAATAAATAAATAAAAAGCAACAAAATTATTACAATTTTAACAAAACAAAAAAAAAGAAAGTAGATTCTAATTCAAAACATGATGATGAGCAGACCTCAGGAAAGACATCAGCGTCTGTGAACACGAGACGCTGTTATGTTTTCAGAGATGCTCATCTGCAGATCTGTAGGAGGACAGAAATCAATATTCTCATGAGCGTCTCCTACACAGCAGCATCTCATTCACATCCACAGCGTCTCTCTCGTTTCCCCGCAGGTCTCTCAACCTCCCATCATCTTCACCTCCTCACGCCAGTGCTCGCGGTTCCTGACGGAAAGACCCAGAGAAGCTCGGGATCCTGATGGAAATCACATCGGTGTTCTTCACAGCGAGCGAGCGTTTGATAACGTCACCCTTCAAAGAAGAGAGAACCAAAAACTACTGCTAATCCTCCACAACAGAGTAATGCAGACCCCGACTCCATCCAACGCTGCCAGAGAGGCAGACGTTTCTAAAGACCTTCCGTGTTTTTGTAAAGAAAGCCTTCAAATACAAGAAGCATATTTTTGATATTTTCTAAGATGATTTTAAAGATGTCACACAGTATATGACGGAAAATGTATTTATGTACTGATTAAAAACATGAAGTCATCTGCATCTGAACATGTCTTTAATAAATCACAGATGAGAGTGAATGATGGAGCCGGACACAAGAGGGCGACCTGCGCGCATTAGTAGAGTTTAACCTGACCTCAGTCAACCATCTCTAGTACTAGTGCTAAAAGCCTTAAAGCTGAGTGTGTGTTTACACAAACACGCCTCACATCATCTTCACAGTGTGTGTAAATGTGTTTCTCATGACAGGTGGAGGCGGCAGAGACTCATGGGAAGTCTAAGTAATTACCCTAATATTTAGTCAACCATCATTTAACGTCATGCTTCTCAACATTTGACTTAAAGCCCACTCATCATACACAGCATCCTGACTTTTCTAGTCTCGTGTGTCGGGGGAAGCTACTTTTAAAAGTAATGCGTTACAATGTTGCGTTACTCCATGAAAAAGTAACTTAATTGTGTTACTTTTTATGGAAAGTAATGCATTGTGTTACTTTTTGTGCACCTGGGCTGGACTTGCTGATGTGTTTTTAATAAAAAGAAAAAAAAGCCAAAAGTTATATTTTTGGCAACTTTAAAGGTCCTTTCGTGAGAAAACTAACGAACTGGAGTTAATTATTTGAAAAATTGCTCCGATATTTTCTTGTAAGTTTAAAAGTAATGTGTTACTTTACTAGTTACTTAATGCGTTACCCACAACATTCTGCTCCCCGCCCCCTTTTCCAGAATAGAGCTGCGGCATTACAGCTCAGACCTGCTGAAAACATCTGTTGTGGTTCTGATTATTATGTTTATCGTGCTGAAATCATGTGTTTTAAACCATATGAGTCTTTGCAACGCCACCAAGCGAGCGAAATCAGACGCGCTGGTTTTCTCAGACGCTTGCAGAAAAAGGCTTCCCAAAACTAAGTTACTGGGTTCATCTTTTTCAGGTTTCCTTGGTTGGTAGATGCACCGGGGACCTGATTATAGCTCTTACAACCTGGAAAAGTCAGATTTCCGTGATATGTCACCTTTAAAAAATCTCCATGGTGACTTTTCTGGGTCTAGAAATCAGACTTTTGAAATCCTCATATATCCAGGTTTTGTAAGATTGTGAGGATCCTGGTTCTTCACAAGTAAAGTTGTTGATGAGGTGAATTCAAGTAAGAAGTATCTTGATTTTTTTTTGTTTAGTTGTGTTTGATTTGTCTTGTATTAAATCATCTTTAGGCCCTGCTTGAGAACCACTGATTTAAAGGCTCATATGATTTTTATTACAATTCTTGTGTTTGATTATAATAATGCCGTGCACTTCTGTTTCAGGTCTCGTCTCCCAGAATGCAGTGCCACAGGAGAGCGGGGCATGTTGTCACACTGTTCACTGCAGGGTGGGTTAGTTGTTGAAAGTCTTTCAGAAATATTTTCTGTATGTTCTCGATTATTTAACACTCGTCGAGCTCTAATGTGGGGCATGTTGTCACACTGTAAATAACGCTGTCTTCTGATTCAAACTGTATTATAGGCCATTTATGTGTTTTCTGCAACAGCTGAATCATGTGCTGCTATATATGAAAGGCCGTTTCTGCCACGGGATCAAAAAAGGTAATTGCGACTTTTTATCTCAAAGTTTGGACTATTTTTCCTCACAATTCTGAGAAAAACTTTTTTCTCTGTGTTTTTATCTCACAATTCTGTTTTGTTTTGTTTTTCAACCATGGAGAAAAAATTATTGAAAAAAGTCTCAACTTTTTATCTCACCACACATTTTTTAATTAAAATAAGAATTTTTTTTTTTTAGTTTTGATTGATTTGCTCTGTTTAAATCATTTTAAGGTCAAGGTCGAGGTCAAGTTGATTTATATAGCCCTTTAAAACAACATAAATGCTGACCAAAGTAGTGCTGCACAACATTCGAGACAAAAACATCCTCATACGATACAATTTAAATACTAATCAAATAAATCAAAAGAAAACAGAACAAAAATGTATAAAGTCAAAACAGAACATTACCATGCAAAATAAAACAAAATTAAAGCTAAAAAATGATCAAATTAAGCATATGCCTGAGAAAAAAAACATGATTTAAGAGAAGATTTAAATGTGGATAGAGTAGGGGATAGGCTAATAGACAATGGTAGGGAATTCCAGAGCTTTGGACCAAGAACTTTTGGATTTAAGTCGAGATTTTGGAACATTTAATAACGTCTGGGTGGAAGATCTAAGTGTTCTCTCAGGAGAGTAGGAATGGAGAAGATCTGAAATATAAGTAGGGGCAAGACCATGAAGTGATTTAAATACAAATACTAAAACCTTAAAATCAACTCTGAATTGAACAGGTAACCAATGAAGTGACGCTAACACAGGTGTGATATGTTCTCTCTTATTTGTTCCTGTTAAGAAATGAGCCGCGGCGTTCTGTATTAGTCGCAAGCGCGAGAGCGAGGACTGATTTATTCCAGCGTATAGAGTGTTACAATAGTCCAACCTGGTTGAGATGAATGCATGAATAGCGGTCTCCAAATCACTAAAGCTCAGAATATTTTTAAGCTTGCGAAGTCCCCCAAGCTGCAGAAAACTGGCTCTAACTACAGAATTGGTTTGTTTGTCAGATTTTAACTCCGGGTCAAGGGTAACTCCCAGATTTTTAACTTTATCACGAATGTTTTCTTGAAGGGGGCCCAGGGTAGAACTTAGATTATTTAAAAGGTGTGAAGGGCCAAACAACATAGCTTCAGTCTTTTTCTGATTTAGTTGAAGGAAATTATTGTCCATCCAAACCTTAATGTCCTCTAAACAAGCTAGCAGAGAGGACACTGAATCAGTACCTGATTTTAAAGGAAAATAGAGCTGAGGATCATCGGCATAAATATGATATTAAACTTTATGGGACTCAAAAATTAAGCGGAGAGGGAGTAAATATAAAGAAAATAAGATTGGACCCAGAATTGAGCCCTGGGGCACCCCAGAAGTGACGGGAACTGAGCTTGATGAAAATTCTCCAATTTCCACTGAAAAACTCCTCTATTTGTGAGATATGGTGCAAACCAATCTAATGCAACATCACAAATGCCAACTTCAAGGTCTAATCTCTTTAACAGGATACGATGATCCACTGTATCAAAAGCCGCACTTAAGTCTAATAATAGCAGAATAGTACAGTTTTAAGTTTTTAGTTGTTATTTTAAGTCAACTTGAGAAACACTGATTTAAAGCATCATGTCATATGATTTTTATTTCCATTCTTGTCTTTTTCCCCCTGAGTTTCATATCAGTTTTTTTACTAAACAGGACATTTTTTGCTGCTGTGTCTTTAAACCGTTTATGCAAATGAGCTCATTTGTTATTGGCTGTGTGTGAAATGAGTAACAGCACTGCTCACACACTTTACTCTCGCTGTTAATTAGAAATAAAATCTGTCCTACTTTATTTTCTCGTTTCATCCTTCAACCTGCTGCTGTTATTTGAACACATTATTATTTAGAATAAATAAATATAATGCAATATTCACTATATTTTCTCTTTCATTATTAAGCTTTGTTTGTCCATGACCTGTTTGACCTTCTGCTTACCGGCAGTGAGAGTTTCTTAAAAGAGTGGGATGTTTAACCTTCACGTGTTGATGTTGAAAGCAGCCTTCCTGAAGCCAAACCTGTCTTTGTTCTCACTGCGTCTAAATTACAGAGATCATGAAGCAGCTGCCGACCACTGGAATGAGCTTCTGCCATATCTGAGATCGCAACGTATTTATGAATTGTGCAACAGAGCAACGTGGTGTTCGATCAGCAAACGCTTATGGCAAGCCGTTTTGACTTTTATTCATTCTCAGGATATGAATTCTTGATATCAACAATTCAATTTTTACTAGTTAAAATGTTCATTCTTGATATCAGGAATTAGATTTCTACTAGTAACAATGGCTATTTTTGATATCAGCAACTACATTTCCACTAGTAACAATGTTAATTCTTGATATCAACAATTACTTTTCAACTAGTAAAAACTATAATTCTTGATATCTGTAATTGTATTTTCACTAGTTAAATGTCACCATAGGCTGCCATTCAAAATCAATTGTTGATATCAAGAATTGATTTCTTACTAGTTGAAATTCCAATTTCACATATCAGAAATACAATTCTTACTAGTAAAATCCTTTATTTGTGGTATCAGTAATCACGTGGTTACTAGTACAGACGTCTATTCTTGATATCAACAGTTTAACTGCCACTAGTGACGATGTTAATTTCTGATATCATGAATGTGATTGCTACTAGTAAGAAAGCCATTTTAGATATCAGAAATTATATTGATATCACAAATATATTTTTAGATATCAAAAATAACAAATCTTACATGTTGAAATTCATTTACCGATATCAAGAATGAACATTTCAACTAGTAACAACTGAATTCTTGATATCAACAAAGGCAGTTGATATCTGAAATTCCCCTTGCAACTAGTGAAAATAGAATTACTGATATCTTAAATGACATTTTAACTAGTAAAAATACTTTTACAGATATGTAGAAATGCCATTTTTACAGGTAAGAATAGCTATGGTAATGAGATCATTAATATTAACGAGATCTGGTTTTCCCACAATCCTCGTTTTAGCGTCAACATTGGCCCAAAGATGGCGGAAGAACATCCATGCGCAGAAACGGCTCCTCCTTTATTTATTTGTTTTGTCAATGAAACATGAAAATTATATTATGGCTGGATTAAAATTTTTGTTAATTGTTAATTTTTTGTTAAAGTAATTGTATGCTGCTTCTATTTATTGGCCACCAAGTCCTTCGGATAATTAAAGGAAAAATGAACAAGGCATTAATTTAGCTTTAACATAAGAAATTACTTCATGTCGTTTTTTCATGTGTTTATTTTTAGTTTCATTACACTTTCTTCTAATACA